GAAACTTGTAAGTACCTACCAATTAATTTATATTGTTAATACAACTTTTGGAGTACCTACTATTTACTCAGATCCAAAAAAACTTAAAAGTGACAACAAATAAAACTAAAATACATGTCGTTGCAAGATCAATAATATAATATTTCTCTCTTCACTCAAAATATATACACTTCATAATATATTACTTTAAAACTTATAGAAAATCTCACTAGTAGTTTCTGTGATTCATTAACAATACCTAATTAATATGAATAATGGTATTGAAATCAATGCATTATGCGCACTATCGACGAGTGCAATTTTTTTTAAATAACATGATCATTGATGTGATCAAACAAAAAACTTTTTGTATTTGGGTTGTCTATATGCATTATAATTTATATTTATGTGCATATAATTACATTTATTTGCTTTACTTGAGCAAAATGTTGTATTGCTGTTAAATTATTCTAGTGAAATATAATCATACCTGACCTCGTTGACTAAAATTAAAATATCTTCGAATAGATATTAATACGAACTAAATAAACTGACGTTTTGTCGATAGGTAAAGATTAAACGAAATACGTAATTTATTGATTCCCTGCAATTGATAGTAAAGTTGTGTATTAACGATAGGTATGGGTTTTATTTGGACCAAGTATTCAAATTGAATAATATAATTCAAACACAAAATTATGTATACACAGTTCTAAATGCAATAGATTCTTGGTTTTATAATTTTCACTGTTTCTCGACGATTTAAAAGTCTAATCATCATAATCAAATCATGTCGTGTAATAAATTGTTATTAATATTTCTAATTATTCGTATAAATTAATGTTTCTACTACCCTAGATGCCAAAACGAATATATAGTATTCGAAGAGCCCCACGAATATTAAACTCAAACCGATCAAATACACATTATAATACTCATACAGTTCCGTGTAAACTTAACGGGAAAAAAAAGTCGTGACATTGTTCCACCATCATAATAGGCATTTGATTTTTAATAATATTAGACGTCTATGAAAACTGTTTTGCAATTTTAACCCACAGCCAACCGCAATCTATGGTGAATTGCCTTTCTGCTGCAGCGTACCTATTTACCTACTCATAATAAAATCTGTTTTATGTACATTTACTATGCCGCAACAACGCTTTTGCGTAATTAACATTTATTTTTTGCCGACGCAACGTTTTTGAGTTTGTGCTCTGCAGAAAGTGTGCAGCGTCATAATATATAATACTAATAAATATTCATGAAGAAATAAATTAACATATTATACTGTGTTTTGAAAACTCGCCGCCGCCTTTGCAAGCGTGTGTGTGTGTGTGTGTGCGTGGCCTATGTGTACCTAATTTTGTTCAATTTAACCAGACGTGGCAATTTTTTTCCACAGGTGAACTTCGTCGGCAACCGCCTCTATAGATGAACAGCTGTATCTGACACGGGAACGGTGTGTGTGTGTGCGCATGCGCGTGCACCTGCGGCCGACGATGGACAAGCGCCGCGACGAGAAGACGCGGTTGGTGTACGCGCTGTTGTTCGCGATCGTGTTTTGCGGCGAACAAATCACCGCCGATTTCGGTAAGTACAGTTTTAAGGAAGTTTTGCGGTGACGACTTCGAGTTTACCCCGCAGTCGGGGGCGTGCCGGCGGGTGAAAATCGTAGTCGCAAAGTTTTCCCCGTCCAATATATACATCAACACCGATACACTTCGATATTATATAGTCGATGAAGACTGCAGTGGGTACGCCTATAACTGCACCTGACCCGGATTCGGTGGTCCTGCAGTAGACGAGGGGTCCGGGAAATGGGTGGGGGGGTAGAAGGGTGGGCAAGAGTAAATAATGACGATCGTAATACGATATTGTCATAGCACATAGGCCCGCGCCTTACGCGTATACATTATATTATTATGACGTATTATATATTACTATATTAGTAAACTTTGAAACGATTCCGAACACGCGCCGTTTTCTTAACCAAATTATTATTATGTTAAGAGGAGGCCAACCCTCGCAAACATACAACATGGACGATTTTCGTATAGCAGAACCAATTTGTATCTTTGATAATATTATAGTGAATTTACATATTAGGTATAGGTAAGCACATTTAAAAGCAAGAACATTATCTACGGCGTTTTGTAAGCTCTCCGTTAATATTAAAGCTAGTTATGATCATTCGGAAATTGTATTATATAATAAAGCTATAACCTATAATATCAAATACAAATGTTAGTAAAATCCTACGAGGTGCCCTATATAATTATCACTGTTAACGGAAAGAACCTTTATCATACTACTAAATATAGTGTCATAATAAGTCAATCACTCAATCAGGGCCGGAGCTATACATTTTTTTAGGGGGGGGGGGTGTATTCACTATAATTTTCCGACTGAAAATTAAGTGATTTGCAGACTAAATTATTCAACACACTCAATGATTCACGTAATTTACATACTTCAAGTAATTTTTTTAATGAACCCATCTAACTTGTTCGTCTCATGAAAACAGGATATTTGTATCGTTATTCGTTGAGATACTATCCAATGTATTAATAATATCCGCAATTAGGTTGAATTAGTTACTAAATAAGTTAAGGGGCAACATTTAGGCTAATCTCGTCATAGCCACCCGGGATCTATGTGTCAGTTGTAAATGATTATTAGTGTGAGTGAAATTAAATGAGGGTATCATCTCTCGTACGCGCATGCACAAGTCAATAACTCGATATCCATATCAATTTTACTAAAAGAATTTTACAAAAACATACATTTGTTTTGTCAAAATTAAAGTTAGTTAACGTTGTCTGCTTTTGATTCTGAAAAAATATTTGAATTTAGCAGAAAATTTTTGTAGATCGTACGAAACATTTTCCGTTTTTAATATTAATTTTAATTTTAATTATGATTCGAAAAAGTTGATATTTGAAGTTTTAAATTATTACAGTTCAGTGTGCACAATAATTTAGATTAAACAAAGTGCTTAGTAGGATCTATAGATCATATTCTGGTGAGTTCAAATTTTTTTCAGAATCAAAATCGGACAACGTTAACTAACTTTAATTTTGTCAATACTATTTGTCTTTTCAGCTAAAATTGACGGCAGTAGCGAAGCCCCTTGATGCAAGTTGCTAAATCATTAAACCGTGTTTATTAAAAAAAAAAATATTTTTTTTTAAACAAAATTACAATATTTTTATTATATTATATTAAGTCGTCTTTCTTCAAGAAGAACATAATGTTTCACCATGAGATGAATACCAATTTCATCAGTTAAATATTTGTTACAATTTAATAAGCCATCAACTCCCGTATAGTAGAACGTAAACAATTGTTCACAATCTTCGATTTACTTATGCAGTACTAACCGATGCTGTAAAAATCAATCTGCATAGCAGATTGAGCATCAATCATCAATAGGCAAATTATGTTTTGATTCTTTGGATACTTTAAATATTTCAGTTAGTTTTAAAATGTTGTTATTGATACAATGATGGTGTAAGATGTTTAATTCAGTTCTAACTCCATCATAATCGCAAATATTAGATTTATTACATTCATAAGGGAATATTTTCATAGCTTTCTTCAAATCATCTATTTAACAATTGTTTTCCCATGGAACCTGAAAAATGTTCACAAGTGGTTCTATGATCAACATACAATTTTGTTCAGAAGACAAATTCATTAATGTATAGAATACTTTTTTGAATTCCATTCTGTAAAAAGCTTTTATATTGATCGTGAACTTTGTACTGGCATTCGAGTATAACTTTTTGGGCTTCAATCTTCTTCGATGGTGTCGGTCAAAATCTTTTTCTGGGTTAATATTTAATTTTTTAGCAAAAACTATTGCACTCTTTATTAAGTATTTAAAATGCAAATAATTTAATCACTGTTAACATTTAATATTTTTTTTTTTTTTTTATCCTTAAGACCGGCATCTATGGCCATTAGCTGTTAATAGAGTTGTATTGTAGTGGTGGGTTTTACACGTGAGTGTTTGTGTTTGGCAGAATTTTTGATTGGGCACCTGTAGGTCTCTGCCATGCCCGGGTGGGGGATGCCGGAACTTGTTATCCGGACACCGTGACTTGCCCAAAGAAAAATGCCACCCGTGACCAAGGAATCGAACCAGTGCTGGCTGCGTCGCAACCGACGCCTAGACCGCTCGGCCACTCCGTCCCCCTTGTAATAATTTTATACATAAACATAAGTTAAATAAACGCATAATCTGAGGTGATTTTTTTCTAATGTATTGTAGTTATCCAGCAAAATAATTAAGAGAACGTCAAAATGATTTGATTTTTTATGAACTGGTTTAACTAAAATATATTGTAACCCCTTGGACCATTATGGATTATATTATATTTTGTTTCTTATGCTAATTATTTTTATAAATTACTTTTTAATGTAATTTAATGTCACTTTGAAACCAAGTCAGAGACGTTTAATGGACGGATACGAATAAGGTTTATTCTACAAAATAATAAAATAAAAAATGTCTTTATATAATATTCCGTTTTGAATTTTTTTAAATAAAACAATCCGTTGAAATATAAATGAATATTATACACAGTACTAATTACTTAATATAATAATACTAACTATTCATGTATATACGTTAGTAAATATTTATAATACAATTTATATATTTGTGTGTACAATGTATAGTTTATTTTTATGAAATAGATTGATAAAAGACTTTATTTTATTGGAAATAAAAATGTCCTGTTTAAAATAAGTAAAAAATTACGAAATTTAATAAAAAGTAATTAAAAACGAGTTTCTACTAACTAGTAATTTTAGCTGGAAATTTCTGTGCATCGAACAACTTTTTATGGATATTTTTGAAAACAAATTATACATTTTCCTAAATTATTAAATAAAAATATTATATAATATCGTACATAGGTATAGACCATGATATTGATGTACTTAGGTTAGACATAAATACTGTCAGTACACCAAACGTATATTACTCACGAACAACACGTCGTATAAAAATGTTATAAATATATTTGAATAGCATAACTAATTACAATTGTAACCATATATAAATTATTCAAAATGTCGCACTTCGTTTTCAATACAACGACGTAAACGTTTCGGCCATACTGTTCAATACAAGTAAGAATCGTTTCCAACGGAATTTCTGCCGCTGCCTTCGCAATGCTTCGTTTGAGCGACTCCAAATTTACGTGTCGTTTTTTACACGCTCTCTCCTCTAAAATGCTCCATAACCCATAATCGATAGGGCTTAAATCCGGGCTTGCGGAAGGCCAATCAGATGCCTTAATACAATTTGGAACACTGTTTTCAAGCCACTCTTGTGTCGTTTTTGCCATTATGGCCAGGTGCCGAATCCTGTTGAAATACCCAATCGATTCCTTTGAACAATGTATTATTAAGAGGCCTTACTATAGGATCTAAGACAATTGTCAGATAAACAAGAGCCCTAATTTTAACCCCTTTCTCACAGAAATGGATCTCTGTAACACCGTGCCATATGACACACCCCGCACCAAACCATTACTTGCGCAGGGTGGTGGCCTAGTTGAACACTTGAAACCTTCTCTTTCGCCTCTAATGATGACCTAGCATATACCCTATAATTTTGCTTGTTGAAATTTTCCTCTACGGTAAAAATTTTTTCATCGGCAAATAAAATATTTCTACATTTTTTTTGACCGTACAGGCGTAGCATGTTTTTGGATCATGGCGAATCGGATTATGGTGACCCACGTATGATACTCTTCCCGCGCTGCATCATTACTATGGATACTTCGACAATTCCTGTGATTGAGAAATGTACCTGACTCTAATTATAGTATATTTACAGTGTTGCAATATTTAAAAGTCAAAATTGTCCTAAACTGCATAGTACTGACAGTATTTATGTCTAGACAAGTATTAGTTATATTTTAAAATATAGGTAATTATTAGAAGTTTAGAATCAAAAATGTTTAAGTTTCGTTTTTAATTGATTCAATACAAGGACATAATATGTCCTCTTAGAAATGCCTGAAATGTATTATTACTACAAAGCTAACCAATATCGTTATCAGGTTTTTTAAATTTTTTTTTTGTAGTTAATGACAACATGTTTTATTGTTACTGTTTACGTGTGACTACGCATAGTGATTAACATTATACAATTCTAATTGAACGGTTCGTGGCGTTTAGGACTGGTCATATTAAAATATAGTGTTAAATTGACTTTTATTAGTGGTGTGGCAACTGGGGCATTTGCCCCAGTCTAGTATTTATATCAACCTTAAGTCAGCACATTTACCCCCCCCCACAACCACCCTTAAAGGTGAATGGCACTATATGCTATGAGAATCTGAGTGGAAAATTTTGAGTCGGATAAGCAGTGAAAAGTTGCCCTAGTCTAATAAAAACTGAAATGACGTCACTGGCAATTAGCACACAATATAAATATGGTTATGGTTAATATGGTCTTGTTATCATCTGAAACGACGAATATTGAAATACGTTTTCATTTATTCACGATGTTCATAATAATATAATATACGATTCGCTCGGTCTTTATGTTCACGCTATAATGTGTACTTCCGTCACTTTGTGAAATCAGTTCATCATTACACCATAATTATAATATATAAGCGAATATTAGTCAACTGCAGTGGCGTACTCATGGGTACGGTTCTATGGTTCTGACCACCCCTGAAATTTCTTTTTTCTACAAAAAAATTTTATTTACCACCATTTCGATACATACAGATCAATTGTTGGTAATTTTTAGTAGATGTAAAATATATTGTTGAATATGACAAAGACGTCGATCATCATATTATCGGTTTTTTTTTGGCTGATTTAGAACATTTCTAAACGTCTGCCCTAATCGATGGTGTATCATCGTCCATCAATTATTACCACGTTTATTACTGCCCGACGAGGCTCTATAGATGACCAGGTTAAACACTGTAAATGTAGACTAAATTTGAGATTAACTATAATTTGTTATATAAAAACTGTTTAGAAAAAAATAACCAAAATTATTTACTAGGTAAAACCCTAATCAAACTAAAATCCTGCTTACGGCACTGTTAGTCGACCAATTACCATTTGACTATCATGTGACCTTAGTGTAACTCCTTAAAAATAAATAAGTAATTATTACACATTTTAAACATTGCTTTTGTATCGTATCCATATAAACTGCAGTTAATCGTGATGGGAAACATCAATATAATATATATAGTCACTTACCTATTATACGTATTACATATCAAAATGAACATCTAAAATGAATGTGTATGCGCTTTCAAAGCGAAAATATAAACTTTGTATGTTTTTTTAAAAAAAAATTATAAAAATGAATAACATCAGTGGAATTCTTTGTTATTTTCGTATGATAACATTTTGTTTAACTAAACCGTATAAATGTGTTTTGTAACTTGAATAGGAAAAATGTGTATTTATTTATCCTCGGAAAAAGAAAAAAAACTGTCATGAACTTTTTTTCCACCGTTTTCCACATATCTGAAAGCGAATGACAAAGTCATATACGTAGGTATACGAGTCTTATAATAATTGCATCAATGCACGTTTCGGTTTTCTTTTCTTTTTATTTTTTTCAATTTCCTCAGTCACCCTTTTGAAGGAATATAATATTTCCCCCAAAAACACTTAATGATAATTCTGTTATTTAGACATTTTGTACCTACATAACGATGAGATGGAAGACAGAGTTGTAAAATCGATTTAAGTATGAACATTGAACATGAATAAGTATTTGCTATACAGAGTAATATTTATTTTTTTATCAATAAACAGTCATTTCATCAGAAGGTGAGACTTATATATGACTTATAAATACTTATTATAACTGCTACATAAAAATCGATAAACAAAATATTAAGATCAAAATTCTACTTAAAGATATAAAACCAAAAATTATATTTTCATTTTAAATGTAAAAAACAAATATAAATGTATACATATATGTATATAAAAAAAATGGTTTGTTATAATGACTTAAAATTATGCAAAAACGAAAATGTACCTATTAAAAAAACCCATTTGTTATCCGATAAAATGAATTTTCAGTGATAAAACAATCACTTTCTAATGTTTATATACATACCATATTATAATGCACAAACGGCTATACCAGGGTTTTTTTTAATAATTTTTTCTGACTGCACAAACTTGTTCCCACTCTTGGGTTATATTAGGGAATTTGTTTATGCAGACCAAACCCTACGGACTGTTATCCTTTGAACTATCAGGTATGGCTCCAAAGGGGCCCTAGCCCCCCTCCCCCCAAAGCTATATTTCTAAAAAATTTTATAATGTTAAAAACAAAATTACAAAAAAAAATCATCGACATTATCTGAAAATTATGACTAATCATGTCTCTGGAGTTGTCCCTGTGAACTGTGCCAGCTATACTACCTAGTACCTACTAACCTACTGTCTACTGTATACTGTACTATCTACATTTTTTACTTTCGTAAGACTGCATATAGGTACTCAGAAACAATATGTAAAAACATAAAAATCCCGACTCTCTCATGATATACCAAATAAATCATTTTATACTAATGCACTATTTTTATTGTAAATTTGCAAATAATAATTTAAATTTTGTTTGTAAATATAAGTAATAATACTTACTAAGTAATATTTACTCGGAATAGGTAATTTGTAATAATAATTGTTTATAAAAATAAAAACAATCAATTGACTAGGTAGGTACCTAACTATCGTACATATAATTAAATGAGAAAATAGGGCATTTGATGTCAAAACGGAGCTAGTATTCTAGAAAAGAGTTTCGTCAAAAATTCATAGATTATCTAGATCCAATAAACTACAACTTAATGTCAGTAAATATAAAAAGGAACATATTCTATACAGAATGGAGTCGAATAACTATATAGAAATGAAAAAAAAATTCAGATTTGGTTATTTCCAATAGGCAATTGAATAAATAATAAGTAATAAATATATTTAACTGTTGTAATTTTAATATTAGTTATCATTTTATATAACACTCTACCACCACCACAAGCATGTGCTTAAAGGTGGTAGATATTTTTTTGTTTAAAAAAAAAAAATTGAAAAAAAAAAACAGTATAATAAGGAATAATATAAACAATTTTTAATTTTAATAGAAACATTTTTTTTTTTTTTTTTTGAAGTTTACTCAATTGTTGTTTTATAATATACGATAAAATATATCAATATGACCCTGACATTCTTTCTTTGCACTGCACAGAGTAACAATTTACATTGTAAAATTACTTTTCTCACTGCACAAAATGTGTCTCACTGCACACTAAAAAAAACCCTGGCCTATACCTATGATTCCTATGATATGCGTTGTACATCTCAGTACCTATTCCGTGTGGACATCAAAGATGCTGTACTTTAAATGTATGCTTACTGTAATAATTTAATTTTACATTCAAACTTCAATGGCCGATATCGTGGGCACACCGGAGGGGTGCTGCAAAAGAAGTTATCGCTTCAGTCAAAGAGAGTCATTGCGATAAGTGCTGGTAATCCACACGGTGCAGGCGGGTGGCACGCATAATATGAACGAAATGTACATATTTACAGCAAATAATATAACGTCTGTATGCGTATTACGCATGACGAGACGAGCCGCATACGACTTGAGAGGGAAAATGTAGTTCCGGCGAGGAAATGAACAAAACAGTTGGCTGGTGCGCAATATTACTTCGATTTCCAACACGCGCACACTAGGTCACGGTTGGCTGTCAGTATGTCGACTTCTGACAATAATTTCGGTATTTCCGGGGCATGGCGATATGATATTATTTTCCATAATTTAACGGACGTGATCCCCCGTAATCCGATCGTATAATCATGTTGGTCTGGAAGGGTTATTTTTTTTATTTCGTTTACACCAGTAAATATTGAATCGATTTCACAGTTTTTCCTTTTCGGTTTCATAATTTTTTTTTTTCATAATACGACTACAGATGTACCTAAATTGTCTTACCATCTCATGTTAAATAATATATTGTTGCATTGTTGGTTTTCACATCACAATAATATAATATCATATAGGTATGAGTTATATCAGGGAATACTATGAATGTATATGAACGAACATTTATGAATTTAAACATTCATCCATCATTTAATCATACCTACGCAATCATGCGCATGGACATTTTAATTAAAGGTAACCATGTATAATAATTGAAGAAGGCATGTACAATAAAATTCGTATTTCAAGCCACTATGGTTTCATATCACCAGGTATATTCTTGTAAAATCGTTTAAAAATATTTCATCTCTAGAGTCCTGGAAATTATCAACTTTTATTTATGTCCAAAAATGTAAA